TGGAGAAAGGAACTTTTTGAGATGGGTTGGCAATGAAATCCTTCATCTTGGCTCCTGAGATACTGTACTCTCCATGAGGTCCTTGGTGCTCTTTGAGTATGGTGGTTTTCTTGCAGATGTTTCATCACCCAACTAGGGAACATCATCACTGCTCAACACATTTGCCTAGTCAATCAATGGAATGAAAACAACCAAGCTCTGAGAGCACCGAGGACCCCACCGTTGAACCCTGGGCTACAAATATTCACTTTTTTTTTTTTTAGAACTGAAAGATGCTTTTATTTGTTTTTGTTTTGGTGTGTTAAAAAAATAAAAAAAACTTTTTCAAAAAAAAAAAAGACAAACAAAGCTTTCCCTAACTCTTGTTTGTGGAGTTTTATCAGCAACTCACTCTGGGTGAGGTTAGGATGGTCCCGTTAGAAATTCTGTTTATATAAAGCATCACAAGAAAAAAAAAAGAGTACAAACATCATGTGCTTTACTGCTCAACTATATAACTGTAATAGGAAGCAGGAACAAAAGAGCGTAGAGTATATACCATAGACCCAAATTTGTAAACACTGCTATCTACTGGCTACATACTACAAATGTTTCACTTCTATCTGTACTTTCTTTTGGTTTTCAGTGCCTACCCACTATTCTGCTTGGACTAAAAAAAAGTATCTGGAAGGAGATTGAAGGAGCTGCAAATATTGAGCCTTCGGACAAAGAGGACAAAGGATGGGAAGGATGAGAAGATGGATTTTGATGGAACAGTAGAACAGGAGATGGAACAGTAGAACTTCATTCCAAGCAATAACTCAAGAGGTTGGTCACCCCTTTCAAACAGAGGTTGGCCCAGAGTCCCTCAACCTTGGTTGCTTGAAGATGGGTGGACTTCAACTTCCAGAATTCCCCAGCTAGCATGCTTCAAGAGCTGTAGATTTCATGCTGGCTGGGAAATTCTAAGAGTTGAAGTTCACCCATCTTCAAGCAAACCAAGGTTGAGGAACATTGGGCTAGAGAGTCAATCTGTCTTAGGGACTTTAAAGAAGAGATTGGACAACCATTTGTCTGAAATGGTTTAAGTCAGGTTTCCTCCCTGAGCAGGGGGTTGGACTAGAAGACCTCCAAGGTCCCTTCCAACTTTTCTATTGAATTGAATTTGGATTCCAGGCTGTTCTGAAGTGTGCCTTTCCAACCGAAGGGTTTTCCTTAATTCTATAGGCAATCGAGCAGTTCTTGTCAGCTCTAATAAACTAGACTTGCTCACCCGAGATAATGTATGAAAGAATTCCCTTCTTGGCAGGCAGAAATTTTGCTGAAATGCTCAGCCACCAACCCCTTGCCCATCTATGTCTCAAAAGCTAGTAATCTGGGTGGATTTAAAGTCCATCATGCACTCAGATTCCATTTCCCACAGATGCTCATCAGAAAATAATGAAGATAATTCCCTCTGCATGGTTTTAAAATCAAATATGCTTGATCCTCCAAAGAGAACCTCTGCTGCAAGCATTTGCAATTCAAACCCCCCCCCCCACATTTCTAATAATAATAATAATTGAAAACCTACTTCAAAAAAAAAGGCATAGTTTAATTTAATTTACAGACTCGGATCAAGTCTATTTATTTCCTCTCTGCCTTAAAGCAAGGAAGAGAGACTCTGGAATCCTGGAAGAGAATCTTAATTAGAAATTCAGCAAAATTGGGTTATGGCTATCTCCCTCCCCCCTCCCCCTTCCAGGGTCTGCTGGACAGACACAGAAATGTTGGTTGCCCTGACTCAACTTGCAGCAGTCCATTGCAAAAAGGAAGGAAGGAAGGAAGGAAGGAAGGAAGGAAGGAAGGAAGGAAG